CTTCATGAACTGCAAACCCAAATCCTTCAATGGAAATGGTGGAGTCATCACTCTTATGCGATGGTTCGGGAAAACAGATTCGGTCTTCGCAATCTATTCGTGCCCAGAAGGGAGCAAAGTAAAGTTTGCTGCCTGCACATTCTTCGACAGAGCTTTAACATGGTGGAATAGCCATGCTAAGTCATTGACCCTATCATTGGCTAACTCAATAGGCTGGGAAAACCTAAAAGAGTTCATGCTGGAAGAGTACTGCCCGAGGGGCGAAGTTCGAAAGCTGGAACAAGAACTATGCGAGCATACCATGATTGGCTCAGACATAGTGACCTACACAGATAGGTTTTGTGACCTAGCAACACTATGCCTTGAGATGGTTACTCCAAAGAGTAAGAAGATAGAAAGGTACATATGGGGTCTAACTGCCCCTACTCAAGGTGATGTGTTGTCTTCAAACCCAACCATATTCGATAGTGCCAAACGCTTGGCCCGATGACTTATCGACCATGGAGTCCACCATGGTGTGGAAGTCCCAGTTCCCGAGCCATCAAAGGGAAAGGACTATAATAGGAAGTCAGGGAACAAGAGGAAGAAGAAGCGAACAACACAGGAACCCCCGCAAGAGCAACCAACGAGTACAATATAAGCCGCTACAACGCCTATTCCACCAGCTCCTGCCAGTCGATATGCTGGAACTCTTCCGAAGTGTGGAAAGTGAAACTACTACCACACCAGAGTATGATGGAAAATGCAATGTCTGAACTGCCACAAAGGGACACACAGTCTGTTTCTGCAGAGCACCGGCTCAACCAATCTCTCAAGTCCCCGAGTTGAAGAAAATCAAGCCTGTTACGGCTGTGGCGAGACTGGATACTACCGGAAACACCGCCAAGTAATGAAGAACTCAGGCATGAATGGACGCATTCTGATGATCACCATAGGAGAATCAACCCCGAAGTCGCCTTCGAGAAGCGGTACGTTTTCGACTTAGTAATTACTTTAAAATAAAATTAAATTATAGTTATATATAAGATTAAAACTTGGGGAAAAGACTTAAAATTCATTATAATATCTCACATATCTAAATATATCACGGTATTCAAGAGAACTAAAAGATCTGTTTAGCGAAGCTATAATGGCTTAGTATATACATCATAGTTGTGCATGACTAAGATGTCGCAGACATAGAGTGAGTTATTCCGCCTTAATTCCTGTTCCTTGTTTGGTTGTGGATTTGAGGCAAAGTTACTCAGTTGACCGTCTTATTCATCTTAATTATTCATAACTTGTATATGGCGGGCGATCGTAGTGGTACCAAGGATGATCATGATATAAACTATCATCACCAGTTATCAAAGCACTTTCATTGTATGTACTCGTACATAGCGGTACGATAAGAAGGAGTGTTAACATCAAAGGGAAAACATAAAGCACTAGAACATTTACAAAGAGTACATTGTCGAACACACTAGGGATACATCATCGTATAGCAGACGTCTCTTGCAGATTGGCCAAAACATTGTTCAGTAAAGAGTCTGTTCTATCGTTCGTCATGAATTGGCATGGTCCTCACCATACTAAGTTCATATGTTTCTATGGCCTCGACCTTCAAGCTTTCGAAACCTTTGTCATTCGTATCGACAATCCGACCTAAACCTCAGTTTTATCTTTCGTATTCTAAAACCTCGAAGTACTCATGTGAAGAGTACTTTGTCCTCCGAAACCTTATCATCAGATGTCCGTAGACTGTCATGAAATACCACTCGTCCAGCAGACCAAGTTCGAGCACAAATGTTATTGATGAATACGGCCCACCTATCACTATTCAGTGTATACGTAAGGGGGATATGCTTATGATTACGCACATCTAGTATGTGTGTTTCCACCCTATCTCCTGTTCCTTGTTTGGTTGTGGACCTAGGGCAGAGTCGCACATCCGACCGTCTTACTAATCTTAATTATATACGACTTGTATACACGCACTAATGATAGTTTGACCAAGTACAAATCCTATCATGAACACTAAGGTGAATTTTCCAGGTCTACGAGTGAGTATTCTGCAAATCAAAGGAGCGCAACCCTAGTAGTACTCTAAGAAAGCTAATTTCGGGACGAAATTCCATCTAATGGGGGGATGATGTGACAACCTAAAAATTTTTTCTTTGAAATCTCAATTAGTTAACTCAACTCAGTGACATAATCACTCCTGCTAACCTTTGGCATTTGTTTAGAGCCTGTTTGTGTATTTTGAGCCCAATACACTAAAGGAATGAGTGCTAAAAGTGTTGGCCATTTCTTTCATTTCTTTCTTTCCTTGGCCGATTTTCCCTCATTCTCTCTCAACTATCATCCAACTTTCACCTTAGATCTTCAAAAGTGTAAGTGTTCTATCCCTTGATATGTTGATACATCTCATTATCTAGTGTCAATCCATGAAATCATTCCATTGGCTAGATCTTCAAGTTTTACCAAGAGCACCAAGGACACACATTAGTGTTCTTAGACAAGATCGACCATTTCAAGCCTCTATATCGTAAGTGCTCTTCTTTACACTTGATATCTAGTTAGGACTCATTCTTAGAGCCTTTAAATCATCACCAAACTCATCATGTAGAGAGTTTACAGCCCAAGAGTAAACACCCTTGGCCGTAAACTCCAAGAATGTTCAAGTTTTGGACCTTAAGCACATCTAGACTCTTGTTTAACCTTAGAACACTAGGACCCTTGAGACACCTTACCTTTAAGACCCTAAAAGTGACAAATTAGAGAGTTTATGGCCAAGAGTAAACTCCCTTGGGCCGTAAACACCTCAACACTCTCCTATGAGTGGGACTTTCTCATCTTTGTGTAGAGCAAAAGTTCCTCAAGCTTCCCTAGCCTTCAAACCAACACCTATGCATATTGACCATGAGTTTACGGTCGTAAACTCCCTTTGGCCGTAAACCCATGGTAATAAACTCATGTGGTTCATCCATATGAGCCATAAACACTCCTTAGTCCAATCACATGTGATTCAACACTTCATTCCAAGTGTTTCCTAGTCTAGTGAGGTGTTTCCTTGCCTTTGGTTACCTCTAAAGCCTATATTTATGTAAATATATGTCATTTAGGACTTGTTAAGTCTTGGGACATCATTCGTGGAGCTTCTCATCCTTACACGTGTATTCGTTTAATTCACCCACATCAGGTGAGTTCATACCTTGTAATGAATCTTTTAAACTGTTTTAAATGCTTTTAAGGGGGGAATACAAGTTGAACACAATTTATCATTGTGTAATTGTTTGTTAAACATCTTTTAAAGGATTACTTATGTCTTTTATAAGTAATCAGAACATTTCAAAAGCTCTTTTAAAGTTATGTTACTTTTTAGTTTCACAAAACTCTTTTTTTAAAGTACGAGCATAACTTAGTAGTAAAATGAGTCTTTTCAATAACAGGTCAAGTAAATCACTATTAAACTATAATGGGTATATTTTAGAGGTTCAATTCATACATGACACAATACACGATAACATAAGAGAACACACAATAAAGAGAAACAGGGAGGAGGATACAATACATGATAACAGAAAGAACATACTAAGATACTGTAACAGAACGAACATACTAAGATGCTATAGCATGGAACACTTACAGGATCTAACTATACCAATGAATCACTAACGCATTGTTCTAAACAAAAGGTGATAGTTATATTGGGTATACATGATCATATAATTTTAATGTTGATGTTCACGATGCAACTGTCGGTTTGCCAAGTCGTGTTTGGTTCCCATAACATTTTGACAAGGAGAACGTATAGTATGGGAACTATCCATCACATTATGATCTTAATAAAACAAATATGTTTTAAGGTAATTAGTACATTCAGTGTGTCATTTATAAGACAACTGAGTACTTATATTTTCCGATTACTTTCATAAAGTGACAGTTCCACTTGAAAGTTAATGCAAACTATTTTCGAGTCAAGATAGTTATAAACTAGGGAAAACTTACATTTTTACAAACAAAAAACATAACAGTCAGGTCTAGTACATTCAGTAGAATGGGACCATAATTCTAACCTTATGATTCATTAATGTATACATCAAGAGATATATATTAATAATATCTGATAGGTAGTAGGATGTGTGCTTTCTGCTTCATTTCCTGTTCCTTGTTTGGTTGTGGGTTTAGAGCAGATTCACCCAGCCTGTTATCCATTCGATATTATATATATATATATATATATATATATATATATATATATATATATATATATATATATATATATGTTCCGTATACATTAAGTCTTCGCATATGCCTCTTGGGAAAGTGACTGTATTGTTTGCTAAGTGAATTGCCATGCGAATTGGCCTTGGTTCCGGGAGATCCAGCTTTTTGAAGAATGAATATGGCATTAGGTTCACACTTGCTCCCGAATCGGCTAAGGCATTAATGGTAGCCAAGTTGCCAAATTGGCAAGGTAGAGTTAAGCTCCCCGGGTCACCCTTCTTTTTTTGTAGCTTATTTAGCATAGCAGCTGAGCAGTTTTCATTGAGGACCACCTTCTTCACTTCTTCCATCTTCCTTCGATTAGTGAGAAGTTCCTTAAGGAACTTAGCATATTTGGGCATTTGGACAACAGCTTCAATGAAGGGTATATTAATTTGAAGAGCCTTGATATGATCTAGAAACTTCTGGTACCCCTCTTCCTGCTTCTCCTTCATAGGTTGGGGTGGGTATGGCAGTGGAGGCTGATACAGCTTTTCAGGGACTTGTTCCTTCGGATTTGGCAGTGGTAATTATTGGGACTTAAGTTGAAAAGGTTTTATAGTGGGAGGGTTGCATGGTAATTATTGGGACTTAAGTTGAAGGGTTTTCGGATGTATGGGATTAAAACGGTAAATTATGGACTTCATTTGAAGAGAATTGGGATGGAGGGGTTGGAAATGTAATTATAGGGGAATATACGAATAATTGGGTATGAACTCGTCCTAGCTGCCTCCATATAACCGTCATCACCCTTATTCCCCTTCACCACCGCCACCGCCGCCGCTATAGGAGTCGAAGAACCACCACCTTATTCCTCCATCTTCCAGTTGCCCATTTTTCCTCATTGTTCCGATCAGGCAAGACCAGCGAGTCCAGCCGACGCCATTGCCACCATTAGAGCCGTCAGCCAACGCCGGTTGTTTCTTCCAAAGACGAAGACGATGGGGGCCGTGGGAGGGCGGCCGTTCTACTCTTATTACTTATATCATTCGATGTTGCATCCATCATGGCGTGAATCGACATAGGCGGCTGCCAACCGAGATGGCTACCGCTGTGCCATTTTTATTGCCGTCGGACGATATGTTGTTGTTGATGTCGTGCAATGAACGCCACCAGATGGATGGTTGCTTTCGGACCTCGAGCGATGCATGTGTTGCGTGTAGGGTTGTTTGGCCGTAAACTAAGAACAACCACAACCACCACCGTGAGGTGGTGGCTGCCACCATGAACCACCATGTATGTGTATTTATCTTAGTGAGTATGTGTGTTTATTTGAGACTTTGCATTGTAAAAGTGTAATCGTGTCAGAATAATAATAAGAAAAACTCAAAACAACCACCATGAAGTGGTGGCTGCCACCACCAGCCGCCGTGTTGGGTGGTGGTGTGCCTTGTTTGTGTTTTGATTTGTTTGGGATGCTTGGACAAAAGGATTTGAACCATAACCACCACTGTGGGGTGGTGGTCGCCACCGTTAACCACCACTACTCGAGGTGGTAGTGGGTGGTGCCCAACTAACGAAACCCTAATGGGCCTAATGAAACCATAATAGGCCCAATGAAGCTCTAATTGACCTAAAAGCCCAACCATTTGACTAATGGGCTAGTATGTGGGTTGGAAACCCTAATTATGGTTTGGATAACCCTAATGTCATGAAACCCCAATTTTGGGAATTTGATCGAGATCCGCACTTAAATTATTCACTAAACTGAAAATGTTAATTAATAATCATTTGCATTAACCTAAGACAATATTGGACTTAATGGATTAACTTCTTAATGGGTTAAGTAGGGTTACACCGAACGGACTGGGACATACTAGCATTCTTGTATGTTTTGAAAGTTTTTTATTGATGTGATTATGATTCTTTATGAAAATTTTCGATTTAAATACTTTTTGAGCTTATTTCTTGTTGGGTTTAACCTCAAAAATCTCATGACACTTTGTCTTACATATTTGTTTTAAACTGTGCTATGTAATCAAGATTGTAAGTTAATGATATAAAAAATATCATCAGCTAAGGCTTTTGGAAGACTTATCATAGTTTTTTTTTGTTGTATAATTCTTTCCATTTTAGTACGATTGTGTTATTATTTTTGTAACACTAATTATTTGTAATTATAATAAACTTTTGAATGTTTTTATAAAACCATATTTTTGGAACATGAGTCAATGTCATGTTATATGTACAGCCATAGTATTTAAAAGGCTTTGAAAGTTGTTGGCCTTGGTCCACATTTAAAGGAATAGATCAAACTAATTTAGGTTATGCCTGACTATATGAGTATGAGTTAGTTTTGACTTAATATATGAATATTGAATCATATAAATAATTATATGTTAATTATAATATAGTTTTTTATTTTATTCATATATGATTATTTATCATTCCAATCATATACAAATTTTCAAATGTTTTTTTAAATTGTTACTTCCATCATTTCCTTTTGTCTTCTCAACTTCTCTTCTTTGTTTTATTTTTATCTTCAAACTTTCCCTTGCCTGAAAGATGCACACCATATATGAATATTCTATCTATATTCAAAATATTGCATTAATTATTCATAAATGAATATAAATATTTTAATATATTCACTTATGAACAAGTAATACATAGAATTACTTAAGAACAAGTAATTTTATCTTTTACCTATTAATATATGAAAAGTGTGCTATTAAAAAAATCAATGTAACCATTATAATATATTCAGGTATGCATAAGTAATGCATAACATTAATTATGAACAAATAATATTATCTTTTTATTTATTCATATATTGTCTTATTCACTTGTAAATAATCAATCTTATTATATTCACTTATTAGTGAATCATCCATTTACCTCTATCATCTATATTTCATTTCTCAAATTCTCCTCCTTAATTATCTTCACCTTCATCTTTATTTGCCTTGGTAGTTTCAACTTCTCCTTGTTTATCTCCACCTCCATCATTTCCTTTTGTTTTCTCAATTTCTCCTCCTCCTTTTATTTCCATGTTCGGACTTTCCCTTGCTTGAAAGATATATATCATATATAAATATTTTATCTTTTTTACTCATTCATATATTGTCTTATTCACTTATGAATAAACAAAGTTATTAAAAAAATCAATATAAGCATTGTAATATATTCACTTAATAGTGAATCATCCATTTACCTTTATCATTTCCTTTTCAATTCTCAACTTCTCCTCCTTATTTATGTATACCATCTGAGATTCACTTCCTTGTAAGACCCATATGATATTATATATTAAGTGTAATTAATAATGAATTATTAAATCTATAATAAATTTTTTTATTTATAAATAGATAATAAGTTAATAGTAACATTTTCTAAGTTAGTAGTAGCATTTTTTATATTCATTCATATATGAATAACAAATACATCCCTTGAATATCTTGACTAATTGGAGTATTAGTTTTACTTCTAGTCATTGTTGACCCTTGTCAAAATTTAATAAAAAAATTTGTTATTATGTATTAATATTTTTATAAAAAAAAAAGTAAGTCAAAATTTACCTGTATCAATATTATCCAAAATAATTTTCATTTCATTGTCATTCCAGATTTCATCTTCTTGACTATTTAAATTTGAAAATTTAATGCCAAGGATATTATCCACAATGTTTTCAACAACTTTATCCAACATATTTTGATTTGTTTCATTTTTTCTACTAGTCTCGACATCATCATTTGTTTCTTCAGTCTCCTTATCGTTTTTCTCTTCATCATTCTCATTTTCGTTGATCTCTCCATCATTCTCTTTTGCTTCAGTTTCACCTTCCAT